ACAGGGTGCCCAGAGAAGCTGTGGCTGCCCCATCCCTGGCAGTGTTCAAGGCCAGGTTGGACACAGGGGCTTGGAGCAACCTGCTCTAGTGGAAGGTGTCCCTGCCCGTGGCAGGGGTTGGAGCTGGAGGAGCTTTAAAGTCCTTTCCAACCCAAACCGATCTGTGATTCTAAACCAGCCCTCAGACAAGACTATGCTGCTCTCACCAAGTAGATCATGTCTGGATGCTTGAGGATGTTTAAATATCTAATTCTTGTTGATATTTGTTGCCAAAGCGCCTGGTCTTAAACTACTAATTATACATCTGCGCACAACTGTGTGTAGACAGAACTTGGAATGAAGGCATAAGGATTCCATCCTGGATGGGAAACACCTGGCTGTTTCAGGGCATTGTTACTGTCTGTTTTGTGATAACTTTCAAATGAAAAAGTTTTGTGACTTTCCCATAAGCAGATTGTTTTTATACACATGCTCTTCTAATTTGAAAGATCAGGAGTGCTTTTAAATGCAGCTCTTCTTTGAAGCCCCTGTGAGAAACTGGTGTTTAGAGAGGACATGTCTGAATGTGTGTCTGCTGAAATTTAGTGTTTTACTGAAATTGCCAGCAAACTCTCATGAGTGATTCCCTGCAGTTAGGAGTGTGCACAGTCTATATTGTCAGGCATTACAGGTCTGTTTTCTGCACCTCTTCAGGGATTCCTTTAAGTCAGGGTGGTATCTTTGACTATGGATTGTATAACAAAGTTGTTGCTTTTGCTTTGATACTGCTTAGTGGCTGAAATTTCTGTCTTATCAACCTTCCCTGTTGCCCTGTAAGAGAACCAGCTTCAGTGGAACACGTGGTAGGGGAGGTGAGGAGGTGCAGGGGAGGTTTTAGCTGGTGTTCAGTTAAAAACAGATTGTGTTTGAGCCCATGTTGTGCCAGGATGTTACTGAACCAGAGTTTTATGTTTGTGTGAGGGACTGAATAGAAAAGCAATGAGGATTTAAACAAAGAAGTGAGATTAGCTTGAAGAAGTTCTGAGTTTGCAGTTCGGTGGCTTCCTGTCCCCAGGTATGCTGCCAGTCAATATTTGCATTAATCTAAGTGCTGCAATAGTACAGCTGAGATTGCCTTCTCTTTCCAAACTGCAATGGCAGAAGTCCTCATTTTACTTTCTTGGGAGAGGAGCTGGGGACAGTGCATTATGATTTGGAGATTAGCCACATCCTTCAGTCTTGGTCTTCCTAAAGACCTGCCACATCTGTTATGACTGTTCTTGTATCAGGTGTTGCTACTTTTCATTTTAAGCAGTTGATTGACTTAGGGATTGTGTGTGTCTGTAGAAAACCCCATCACTGCAGCAAAGCCAAACGCCTCCTACCAAAGAGCAAACCAGAAGCGATCTGACAGTGGCACACTCAAAACGTAACTTGTTTGAGCTCTGACTCCGGGAGTCAGCAGAGGGTTCCATAAGGACTGTGCATTCAGGTGAAGTCAGGCCTGGGTCTCTTATGTTGCTTTTCTTCTTCTCCCCTTGAGGAGCCTTCTCTTCTCCAGCTGCCCCAGCCCAGCTCTCTCAGCCTGGCTCCAGAGCAGAGCTGCTCCAGCCCTCGCAGCATCTTCAAGGCCTCCTCTGGCCTCGCTCCAGCAGCTCCATGTCCCTCTTGTGCTGTTCCCCAGAGCTGGATCAGGGCTGCAGGGGGGAGCAGAGCAGAGTCCAGTGGGAGAATCCCCTCCTTCGACCTGCTGCACGTTGCTGGGGATCAGCCCAGCACACGCTTGGCTTCTGGGCTGCGAGCACACACTGCTGGCACACTGCTCTCAAGGGCTTGCATCTCTTCTCCCCTATGCCATGGTAGAGCCCTGGCAGCAGCTGCTGAGCACCAAAGTGTTCTGATGGCTTCGTTGTTGTGCAGGGGTTTGCCTGTGGCTTGCATCTAAAAAAGGGTTTATAAACTGTTGGTTGTTTGTAATCACCGAGGGGAGGCATCCATAGAAAAACCCTCTCCACAGCATCAACTTCAGGTCACTCATCTCTGTTCCCAAGATCTCTCTGGGCATGTGCCATCCCAGAAGGAAGGCTGTAGCCACCTTTGGTAGCACATCACCTTGCCTCAGCAACGTTGAATAATTCAGGGGCTGTGTACCGTGATCCAGCTAAACGTTGTTGGGAAGGCAGAAGAACCAAAGGCAGCTGTGGAGGAGCCGTGGCAGGAAGACAAATGTGCTGGCTTCCTGGCTGCAGAGAACGGGGTTCTGCGGGGCGAAGAGGAGCTGCTGTAAATCCTGTCTATTGGGAAATGTCAAATCCTGCAGCTGTGGCGTGGGGGAGTCGGGGGAAGCCCCTCCTGAGGTAGCAGAGGTGGAGCTCGTCACTCGGAGCTATGGTTATGAGCTGTCCACAGACTCAGGCAGTCAGTGGTGAGCTGTAGCACGCCTGAGTACACAGAATGCTGGAGGCACAGGAAAGGGATCATTAAAAACCCCCAAACAACCCAGAAACCAAACCCCAACAGATTAGGTGTGCCCAGAATTGCTGTATTGAGCCCATAGCCTCCAGCTGATCTTGAACGTACTTCCTATGCAGCAGCTTCCTTTTCTCTCCTTATATTGTTCTATCTTTCTTGGCCTCTGCACCTCTCTCCTGCGCAAAGCCTCCTGCTTGTGATGAATTGCTGCTGCTGCTCTCCTCAGCTCTGCTGTTTGTGCTCTTCTGGGAGAGATTAGGAGGTTAATTTATGTGAGCCCCTTGCAGTTTCCGAGATGCTGTAAATTCCTGGACATTTTGTGTCACAATCCTTTATTTATCCTTCCATAATTCTAAAAAATACTCTTGCTCTGTTGCCGTTTGATTTTTGTATCTGGAGTTGGGGTTGACTTGACTGTGACTTTAATGGTATGTGTCTTTATGGGGCTGTCTTTACAAGGGCTGTGCATGCGTGTATTTGTGCTCGCAGCACAGATCCGTCAGGAGAGAAACTACACCCTGCTTACTCTGAAAACTAGCATCTCACACGCTGCTTTTTTGTTGCTTTTGAATCTTGCATGGGTGGTGCATGGGATTAAAATCATACCTGAGCTTCCTTAAAGCACATAAAGGAGTCCCCAAAGCTGCTCTTTGCAGGACTCCTCATGTGCATTTGGCTGTTGGGCAGAGTGCCTTCAGAAGCATCCACCACAGTACAATGCAGAGCTTTCCATGGCCCCCAGAGTCCCTCCATGACAGCCGTCTTCAGGAGATATTTACTAACTGGGAGTTAGTAAAGGCATGAAAACCAAACTCCAAGTGCAGCACTGCTAACAGCAGAGCAGGCTTCTGCACAACTGGTTTTGCTGTTTCAGTTAATAAAAGAGTGTTACCATTTCATGTCTTTCTGGGGTTAAGTGTACGGGAAGGGGCCTGCGTTCACTGATGGATTGAACTTTGAGTGTCCCAGCAGTTGATATGCTTCCCAGGTCCTTTACTGGAGTGTTTCTCCTATGCAGAGAAGCTGAGAGAGCTGGGCTTGTTCAGCCTCAAGAGGAGAAGGCTCCTTAAGGAGAGACCTTAGAGCAGCTCCAGTGCCCAAAGGGGCTCCAGGAAACCTGGAGAGGGGCTTTGGACAAGGGCCTGTAGGGACAGGACAAGGGGAATGGCTTTAACCTGCCAGAGGGGAGATTGAGATGAGCTCTTAGGCAGAAGCTCTTCCCTGGGAGGGTGCTGAGGCGCTGGCCCAGGGTGCCCAGAGAAGCTGTGGCTGCCCCATCCCTGGCCGTGTTCCAGGCCCGGTTGGACACAGGGGCGTGGAGCAACCTGCTCTAGTGGAAGGTGTCCCTGCCCGTGGCAGGCGTTGGAGCTGGAGGAGCTTTAAGGTCCCTTCTAACCCAAACCAGTCTGTGACTCTGTACTAGATAGGTGACACAACTGTGCATGTCTTATGGATATATTTTTTAATGATATTGGGATGCTCCCATGGGCAGCTCTGAGGTGTGGAGGCAGAAAAGTGGGGTAGCACAAAGGGAAGGAAGACAGTGTCTTGTGTGGGGAGGATAGGGTCAGATGTGGGGATTGCGAATGGGGCCGATGCAAAGTTTCCAGGAAAAGTTGGAAGTATGCAGAGGAGATGTTATGTCGCATAGGGGCTGCTCTGTTTGCATGGGACCAAGCCTTAAATGATATAAATTAACACATCTACACTGACTTCAGTGACTCCAGACTAGCTGGAGTGACGGCCCGGCACGTGCTCAAGTTCAAAGCCTTTGCTGGTTTTCATTTCATTTCCTTTAATTCCAACAAACCTGTGAGCATCAGGCAACTTATGGTTTTTCTGGCAGCAACGCAGTGTTAATTGTTTGCAGCCCATGAGTTCTGGGAAGGTGTGAACCAGGCTCCACGTTGCTTGTATGTGTGCCTGCGTGTGTCAGCTGTACTGAGCAAGGGTGCTGGTGGGGCTGGTGTCGGTATGGTTTTGCAGGGTGATCTTGCTCTTCTCTATGAAGGGAAAGGCACCCTGATCCCTGCAGCTCATCTGTGCCTTGACTGATGTTGCCACTCTTGTTGCTACAAAATCTCTGGTATTTTCACTTAAATTCGTTACCAGTAAATGAGACCCAGCTCTTCTGTCTCCAGAAACACAGCTGCTTTTCCCAGCAGTTCAGCCTTTGACTTGGTGGGATAACCTTCTAATATGGTCTTAGTAACCTAAGTCTTAAAATCTGTTCCGATCTTCTTACATGTATTCTCAGTGTCTTTATTCCTGGTTTTCCCTGTTTTCTGGCTTGACTGGGTTCTGTTAGTGCATCGTGAGTTAGAAAAGCTTCACTAGCTGTGCGGATTCATGCAGTGAGAGATCTTGGCATGGGCTCTGTATTGCTCTGAGACCTGTGGTCTTCCCAGTCACACACACGTGAAGGCTGAGATCTGAGCTCTCATCTCGGGCAGTGCCATGAGCGGCGGAAGAGAACAGTGAGGAGTTGCTTTATTTTGAACAAGTGGGATGTATGGATGGGACAACAGGGTCATGTGGGGAAGGCAGTGACGAGAGGTCCTGTTCACACATGCTCTGCCTTGGTCTGAGAGCTCTCCTGTGGCTCTGGGTCAATAACCAATGTGATATGATTCTGCAGGCATGTGCGCACCGCTGGAAGAACATCTACTACGAGACGGAGTACATCCTGCCTCATGGCTTCTGCAACATCATTCCCCCCAACCTGCAGCCCAAGGGGAGG